ACCAACCAACATTTGATGCAATCTACTACGTACTACCGAAGAAGATGACTTGGTTGATACAGCATGTTTATTATTATTAGCATTTTTAATATTAGTGTTATTGTTGTTGCTTGTATTATTGACATTATTAGTATTGTTATTGCTATTATTCGTACCGTTGTTATTGTTATTATTATTATTGTTGTTGTTATTATTATTATTATTATTATTATTATTATTATTATTATTAGGTAATGAGTAAGGTGTATAATTTGCTGACCCATTGGATTGTGATGTACGATGAGGCCTTGCACGATAAGATGGTGATGAACTTCTGCTCGATAGTTCACTGCTACCACGTGGTTGACGTTTCATTGATATATCGAGATGTTGATGATGATTTTGAAGAGTTGGCATTGACACTTGCATGTTATCCTCTCCTATGCCATTAAATCCACCAGTTTGTCGGGAGTTATTTGTTGGTTCAATAACCCCTGGAAATCTCTCTTCCAATTTATCAAGACCACGACAAGCATACTCATCCAATTGCTCAATCTGTGGAATTTTTGTTGATATCGCTTTGAATGATGATTCAAGCGCATCTGCACTAGTCTTGAAAATTGAACTTTTTTCTTTACCCTGTTCATATAAACCAAGTGCTCGATTGACGAGCGGGATTGCTGGTAATCGATGTCTCAATCCAACGTTCGTATTTGATGAATTTGGCACAGGTGAGGGTTCAACGGGTGCTGGAACATCTATAATATTTGATTAATTTGATAAATGATCTCCATTCTCTCAAAAAATCAATATACATATTATTTATCTCACCTACTGCTCCCCGTCTCAAAGTCTCCAATACTTGAGCGGCACCCAATACATCATCTGCTGGTTCCGCTGCATCATTAACCAGTCGATTTATCGACATCCGAGAATCATTTATGGAATTTGGTATTTGTAACGGTGGTAGAGAATTAGGTGATGGGGCAGAATTATTATCTAGAAACGAAGGAAGATGAAGTTCTTGTTCATCTAGTAAAAATAGATATAATTTAATAAATTATTTAATATATAACATTCCCCAAGTGAATGTTTTTATTTTATTACCTGCAAATGTGGGAATGGCGGAATGTATTGGTGGTAAGCTATTATTATTGTTGTTCGTGATCTTTTGTTTGTGCATATTGTCCCTTTTGCTGGTTGAATAATTATTCTCCTATACGACGCAAGATGGTTCGTTTTCTGTTATCGTCGTTGTTATTATGTGTGACGCGCAAGAAAAGAATTCGAATTGACTTTGCGCGAAAGACAAGTTTTGGGGTAATTGGAGTGAAGCGTGTAGGAGAAAGATTTAGTAAATATAATGATAAGAATAATAATAGCGGCTGTGGTGTTGTCGTTGACTTTTGAACTATTAATAATAACGACTTCGAAACTTAATGCGAATGTGTTTGAATAGAAAGCTAATTCCTGGAGATTAGAACAAAAATAAAAAGGAAAGGAAAAGAAAATAGTTTTTTCTCACTAACTGCTATTATTACTGTTATTAGTATTAATTATTTTATATTAAATTTTTATTATGTGTTTGGTTTTAGAGGAAAAACAAGGGTTGTTGCTATGGTTATAGAGTCGGAAAATATTATTATTATTATTATTATTATTATTATTATTCTATTATCTGTATAACTGTGAGGGAGAAAAGAGTTGAAGGTGCGAGTTCAAAAGTGTCAGAAAGAGTAAACTAACAAATGATTTGAGTGAGCGACTCTCGACAATTGTAACGGAATAATATAAAGAGAAAGGGAGGAGTTTTGTATGGACCTCTTCTTCTCTCTCATCAATCAGCCCATACATATGATTTACCATTTGACAAACATGTGAAAAAAAATCACTGATGCATTTGATGTATGTAACTTTCAGAATTTTATTATTTTGCCGCCGCCTCCTTTAAAAATATGTAATAATAATAATAATAATAATAATAATAATAATATAATATATTGATTTTTTGACTGCTAATTTTTTATAAATATCAACATTATTGTTTGTGCTTCGTGTGTGTGATTATTCCTTTTGCTGCACGCCGTAAGATGATCAGATGAGAAAAAAAAATATATTTATCAGTATATATTTTTTTATGGGATGGTCTTAATAATATCTCGTTCATTATATTATGTCATTGTAGATGTTACATCAATTTTCACGAGCTTTTATTTACACACAATTAAAAATTTAATTCATTTACCGTCCGTCATATAATCAGGGATCCTTTACGAGATTACCTTTCGAACCCCTAAATTTATTTTTGTACTAGAAAGGACGATCAATCAATCGATTAACTCATCGGAAAATAGTTACCAAAATAATTCATTGTTCATATACCTGAATAATAAAAATAATGCTTTTTTTTTATGTAGAAAATTAAAATAGGGGGGTTTTCGTGTAATTATTTATTTATTTGGTAAACGTGAATTACGCAAAAACCAACCAACTACACGTGGTGAAGGATTTTATTTTTAATATCCGTGCAACAACGAATACCACATCTACATCAACATCAACATCGATTACAATTGTTGTGTCGTTATTTATTGGTCGGCCGAGTTTTGACCAATTTTTTTTTACTTTTGTGGCTATTTCTCAAATCATAAGATAGAAGACAATTGAATAAATGTTGATGCATAGATTCAGTCGCTGTTCCTGTTATCGTCGTGTTGGTCGTGTCGTTGTTATCCTTTTTTAGAAGATGAACATGTCAAAAAAATTTTGAAAGCCAAGCAATCACAAGTTAAAAAAACAAAACAACAATAAACACAAAATATAATCAGAAATTGAGATCAAATTGTCGGTTTCTTGGTCATTTGAATTACCTCATGCAGAAAGAAATGTAACACTTTATTATTTGCCGTATCGAGATTTTTAAATTTGGGGGTTCATATTTCTCTAAACGATGGTGTGGCTGCGGCCGCTGCTGCTGATTTAATGTTCATACATTACATACATACACACGCATATACATATATTATCTTACATTTATCTATTATACGCATTAGGGAATGTAATTTTTTCTATCATGATATCCCCTGTTCATTAATTATTAATTTTGTCAGCGATTAATTATAACGATAACTAACCACATAAAATGCAAGAAAATGAACTTCCCTGTAATATATTTATGTGGCTTTTTCCTGATAATCACTATCATCCCTCGACCGACAATTATTTACTCGATTTATTATATTCATCACCATTGATGCATGATTGCAAATTACTTAGGGTAATTTTCATTTATCAAAAAGGAGTCCTTAAAAAAAAATAGTTAAATTTTCGTAACACATATTGTTGTTGTGGTCGATGACACAAGAGAGACGGAGTCGACAGAGAATCTCCTCATTAACTAATTTATCATGATTAAAAGCTCAAAATATCGATCACATCAAATCAACGAAGAATATATCTGAAAATATGTGCACATGTCCTCCTTCTTCACTTATTAGCTTTGAATCGGGAATTCTCGTTTCGGGAAAATTTATAAGCATGCGATTTCCTTTTGTTTAACAAATAGTGTTACTGCATAAAGTACCCGTAATATTATATTAGTTCTCAATCTTACAAATCCAAAAGTTTATTTATCTGAAAAACGTGAATTTTTTGATGTCTCTTGTTTCTCCGAATATATACATCAAAAACTTTGATGTTCTGTACTTTCAACTTTCTTTGTCACATTTCCAAATATTAATACTTTATAATAATAAACATGCTGTATCAACCAAGTCATCTTCTTCGGTAGTACGTAGTAGATTGCATCAAATGTTGGTTGGT